GCCACTTGGAGGGCCAGGCAGTGGGAAGGGGAGTGTGAACTTGACAGTGATGTATTCTTCCCACAAACCTTCTCCCAGATCAACCCAGAGAAGAGAAAAAGCAAATCTGACAGGCGGAGGTACGCAGTAAGAAAGAAAAACACTGGAGAAGCTGTTCCTTGGATTTAAATGCTGATCTTTTGAGAGTGTGCTGAGATGCACTGAAGCATTATGTCTTATGTAATTGACAAACATCAAGGGAAGCAAGAAACCTACAGATGCTAGTGTCTCCTATTTTCCTTGCTGCAGAAGGTAATAAGAAGCATGCATGCAGACACAAAAATAAATACAGAAAGTCTGATCTTTCATCACTTGGTTGAGCAGTTGATGCAAGATGAAGTATTTACTGGTAGCACCTGTAGCAATAGCCCTGTGTGTTGCAATGCTGGCACACCTTGCAGGGTTTCACCCAGAATATTTCTGCAAGTGAAAAGCCTTTTGTGTTGTGCATTAGTGAAAGAGGTCATTATGCCACATCATAAATATTTACTAATAGTGTTTCCTACAGATGTTTATCAATGAATTTCCCTTCAGAGAATGAGCAGACCTCTGGAACAAGTGATCCTGTTTATTATTGTAGAAGGGGATGGTAGTGGATGCTATCCAGTGCCCTTCCAGATTGTGAAGCCCTTTGCACCAGTGTCTGAAGTGTGTGCAGAAGACTATGGCTATCGATGCAATACTGTAAGACGGAATATTATTTTCCTGATTTCCTTTATTTTCCACGTGACCCACTAAAATCTCAGAGAATCCACAACTGATCGTAAAATCAAAGGATAAGTAGCAAAGAAATTGATGGCTGTATGCAACCTCAGAATTTCTCCACTCTGGCTATAACTTGACGCAGGCTTCAGTTAAACTACTACTTGGAACTTCTTCCTGCAGAACGTGCCTCATTCAGTACATAAGGTGGACAGTTTTCAAATTATAATAAGCAGTTATTCAATATTTTGTTTTTTGCTCTTTGGCCTTAGGCTCCCTTTCATAGATTACTGGCAAGGAAGTTTCATTCTGCAGTAAAGAAACCACAGGTTTCAACCAACAAATTAAAAACAAAATACAGCTAAGTTTCACACCTATAGATTGCAAACCATCTTTTCTGACTTGATTCAGCTGGGAAAGAAAAAAAAAATTAAACCTGTAGTGGACATTCGAAGATAGAATTTTCATAGACACCATTGTACAAGTAAGCTTCTGGGGAAGCACAGCACATTTCTTTTGATGAGCAACAGATAATTCCCATAATAAGAAACCATTGTACTTAATAACTGCAACGCAGATTTAACGCTGATTAAAGAAGAGTTCCTCTTCCAACATTAGTAAATCTGTCTGCAGTATAATTGGCATCCCAAATCTTGTGGTAAGCCACAAAAACTAGTAAGGCTGGCTAGAAGAGGAAATTGTAGTTTTGACTTATATTGGTTATCTGCTTTTACTGGCTTACATTTCACGCAGGGTTGTATTAGACCAGGATTCCTTGGATCTTTGGGATCTGGGTCCTGTAGTCTGAGAGAATGTAGGAAAAAGCAGGGCAGAAACCAATTGCTACCATGTGGGTTGGCAAAACCCTTGTCTGAGATCAAAACGCCAGAATAAGAGAAGACTCCCTTTTAACATAATTAGGAAGAGAAGACTTTACCAAGCAATGTGAAGGAGGAGTAGGGTGAGATTTAAGAAATTTAGACTCAACTCTGAGCCACAGTTCATATTTTCTATGGTCTTGAATTAATCACTTGATCTCTCTTTGCCTTAGCTACCATCTGTAAAAACCCAGCAATCTTTCCCATCCACACTTGCAGACTGGAAGTTCTGCAGTCAGGCAATGTGTAGGTATGTCTACAAGACAGGCAGAGGCTGCCCCAAGTTTGCTGTACTTGTGCACTGAGCCAGCTGGTTGCAAGCAAGACCTGGCACGAGAGCCACAAGTGTCATCAGAAGAGTCCTAAACCCACATTATTACATTTCACAGAGACCAGCTTGACAAATAAACATGGGAGCTCACCTCTGCCACCCACTGATGTCAGTGGACCCACTGATCTGTTTCCTCTGTACAGTGTCACAAACTTTTGTTGGCTCTCTGTTGTACTCTAATGAAAATAGGGATTAATTGAAGTTAATATTAGTAAGAGTTATACAGCACTGAATGCAGAGAGGTACGGTGCAGCTGAATTTTAGCTTTTACTCTCTGCAGGATCTCAAGTAAGCCCTCAGGTTAACCTTCTGCACTTTATACATATATAACATAGCAGTTACAGTTCTTCACTTGCCAGTGGTTTGGAAAAAGTCTGTTAAAACTGTATAACATAACTACAAAATCCCTCAATAAGCTACTGTATGGATTTCAGATATCACTACTGAAATTCCAAGAATGTTTTCATGCCAAAATAGATTTTTTTTTTTAATACACAGTGTTTAATGAATACTTTGATTCTATTCTAGATTTAATATCTTAACCACCTTGCCCATGCCTGACACCTGCATGGTTTATGCGCATTAGGTGTCAGCAGTAAAGCTGTTTATAGGAGCGCTTTTCTCCTTTGAAGAAGCTGGAGAATGAGAGCCCATATGGTTCAAAAGGCCACTGTGCCTAATGAAGTTTGTGTTCTCCGGAACACAAACAAAACAGCTCCATCAATTTGATCTTCATCCTCAAAACCAACATGTGGTTGGTTTTAAAATACTGCCTCCTTCTCAAAAATCAACAAAGGACCTTTCTCAACCAAAAGCACTTTCACCATGATGAACACGAGCATCTGGCTAAAGCATTAAATGTTTGGAACTTTTGAAAGAATAAGTCACTGATACCTTGTGTTTACTTGAAGACCTTGGAAAGAAAGACTCTGGGGAACATTTGTTTTCAGGGAAACTCTTGTAATGAAAAGAAATTGGTTTGAACATTACAAGAACACTTCTGTATCACTGGAGATGAGAGACAGCAATAATCCATCAAAAGTGGCCTGAGCAACACTGTGAGACAAGGTAGAAAAGTACAAAGACTAAGAATCACTGTCTTTAGCCAGCATTAAAATACGGACGCAAAGAGATGAACAATAACTCAGTCCATATGCCTGCCCCACATTTAGTTTAAAGTTATCCTTTTCTTGGCACTTGGTTATCAATATTTGTTTGCATAGCGTTCAATCTCACACCCACAGAGGCTGATGGGAGCTTGCTGTTTCCTTCCATAGCTGTGTGATGAGGCCCCACATAACTGGTGTTTGTGCTCAAGGCTTTTCAGTGCCAAATATAATGAACATCATTGTTCTTGATACAATTTAATTTGATAATCCAATTTCCCTGACCAACTGAAACGCAATTTTTGTCTCAGTCGTTCTTGAATACAAGTCAACTTTTACCCTGTGCCTCCTCATTTTTCCCTCTCATTTCTTTCAGTCATGCTACCAAGGGCCTTCTTTCTCTTACAGATGCTGAAAAACCACTTTGCCTTGGAGTAACATCAGCCAGCTTGGACCCTGAATGCTATAGAAGGCAATGGATGACAGAATTAAAGATTTTGGCAACCTCTGTGAACAGCATAAGCATGACTGAAGCAGTTTCCTATAACACTGTCTTCTCCACACTAAACAGTCTAGAAGTCATGTCCAAGAGTCTGCAGAGGCATTAATCTTTACAGACTATTTTCACTTCATTCTTTCAGCTCAGAGTAGCAATGAAGAAAGGATGAACAAGGAAAGGAATGTGTATGACGAAAACCAAGCTACAAACGGCACGTAAGCTATAAGCTGGCTTTTACAGTTTTATATCACTGATGCTACAGGAGTTGTACAGCAAGTGTTCCCTCACCTAAGTACCTCTTTCCTGATAAGACACATATGTTCTGTTTTCTTTCCCATATTGGCTTTACAAAGTGCGTTCACCAAGAATCACCCTGTTATCGGGTGATAATCCTCTACCAAGCAGTGTCAAGTGTTTGCTGCATGCTCTGAGTCCAGAGCAGTCCTCCTACTAAGCACAGAAAGAATAAATTGGGAAAAAAAATAAACAAAAAAAAACACAGGTCAAGTGCAACCAGCAGGATGGAGCCCAAAGCACCATCTTCACTTTTACTTTCCAAGGAAAAAGAGAACTCTGTGGACCAAATACTGGGAGTGCTGACCTGGCAATAGCATGAGCAAGATGCCTAATTTCCTCTCATTTCCCTTTGCTTCTTCAGTATCCACCACCATGTCAAGTGTAATCCAAATCCAGCCTTTTCACAGCTCTTTCCCTCCACAGACAAAGGGTAATGAGCACATTTCTGTGGCAGCCACGCCAGAGGAATCTCTGATTATCCAGAGAAGTTTTTCTATGGACTTTCAGGAATCCTCACCCCAAAATCCCATCACCAGATCAAGCAAGCCCTTCGGGGCCAGTCAAAAGCACAACCAGAGAATCCAAGATCACCAAATTGTTATCCAAAGTTTTTTGAATCCTGCAACCATCAAGTGAATTTCTCAGCGAGCAAGCATCCCTGAGTCATACACTATCTCTAAACCTTGCTTCAATCTAAATATTATTACTCCTAAAGATAACGCTTTGCAAAAGCTCAGCACATAGATCTTCCAGCTGTACATTTTTTTTTATAGGTACCTTAATGTTTGTTTTGAGAACTACCCCGTTCCAGCAGCAAACATAAAGATCAGCGTGACCTCTCCTTATCACACAGTCTTTCCTGTGTGGAATTCATTGTGATCTAGACCCTAGTGACTATTGCATCATTTCTGTTTATTTGTAACCTTTGGCACTGTGTAATCTTATCTGCCTACAGCCGGCTGCAGAAGATGTGCAGCAACACAGCCAGCTCTGGCAGTCCTCAAACACTGGAAGGGTCCAGTTAAGAGTGGAGATCAGTCAATGATTAGCAAAGCAAATCTTCAGTCACTGACAGCTACCCAGAAATCAGCTCGCCCTCTCCTCCCTGCGGAGAAAGTCAGGCTTGGCCTTTCTGTAGCTTTACTCACCTATCACGATGAGGGTGTAGTTCACATTGGTGCTGCCAAAACCATTGGTGGCTTTGCAAATGTAGGTTCCCGCATCTTCACTCTCTACCTCTTTGATTTTCAGCCCTTGCTGAAGGATCCGGAACCTCGTCCAGCCACTGTGGATGGTGCGTCCATCTTTCATCCACATGGTGAGGGGTGGGGGATCACCTTCCACCGGGCACAGGAGCTTGATGGTCCTGCCCAGCCTCACTGACTGACGGTGGATCACTTTATCGGCAATCCTCGGAGGGCCTAAGAAAGAGCAGAGAGAGATAGAGTTGTTACTGCTTTTGCCACTGATAAAGCACTGATTTAAAGGACAGCCATCAATCAAGGCACTACACTGACTGCCACACGGAGAGACAGCAATAAGGGCTCACCAAAAATGTTTTAGAGCTAAAAGTGGAGGTGATTATAGAGAGGGACCTCAAGGGACATCCGGGTTTGTGGAAAACCTGAAGCTACATCTTCACCATCAGCAGCAGCTTGCACTAATCCACAGCTCTAACACACCAGGAAAGTGCAATCGTCTCTTCCTTTTCCAAAGCAGCCTTCCTATAGCAAGAAGGAGCTCTCTACACAAACTGTTCAGCTGTATTTGGTAAAGCAACTGTAGTTGTTTTAAACTTACCACCAATCCTGAAGACAAAATTAGTAGCAGCACCAGTACTTAAAACAAAACACTGCCCCCCTCAAAAAGTTGTAGCCCTTTCATGTTATATGTACAGTAATTCCCTTTAATAGTCACCACATGGGCTTTATCTGAGACACATACGCCTGCAGTTGTTGGACATAAAGCATTCACTGGATAACGCTTCACAGAATCACAGAATGGCCAGGGTTGGAAGGGACCTCAAGGATCATGAATCTCCAACCCCCTGCCACATGCAGGGCTACCAACCTCCACATTTAATGCTAAACCAGGCTGCCCAGGGCCCCATCCAACCTGGCCTTGAACACCTCCAAGGACGGAGCATCCACAACCACTCTCCGGGTAAAGAATTTCCCTCTGATGTCTGACCTAAATCTCCTCTCCCTCAACTTAAAACCATTTCCCCTTGTCCTACACATATCAACCCTTTCAAAGAGTTGATTCCCCTCCCCTCTGTAGGCTCCCTTTAGGTATCGAAAGGCTGCAATAAGGTCACCCCACAGCCTTCTATTCTCCAGGCTGAACAAGCCCAGCTCCCTCAGCCTATCCTCATTGGGAAGGTGCTCCAGTCCCCTGATCATCCTAATGGCCCTCCTCTGGACCCTCTCCAACAGCTCCCTGTCTTTATTGTACTGGGGGCTCCAGACGTGGACGCAGCTTCACCAAATCACAGCATAGCCTGACACTGCTGCGTTGCTAGCAGTCCAAAAGAGGACATATTCATAAATTGCCTTTGCAACCCCGCTGGATTCTCCCAACTGTCAAATGTTTGTTCTTTGTAAAAGGTGATAATTTCATGCAAAACAGAGCCCCTGATATGCTACAGAGTATCAAACATGCTGTTTGCCATGTGATAACAGGATCATCTGGACCAGGCCAATATGCAGAAAAAAGAAGTGATAAAAAATCCAATGGTAGGAATGGTTCCATAGCTGAATTCAACCTGGAATTTCTTCCCCAGGCTCTGAAAAATTGAAGCAGCCTCTTTTTCCCTCATCTGTCTTTTCATTAATCAGTCCATTGCACAAGCTCCCCGCTCAAACTGCAATAGCAATGCTCTTCCCAGAATAGCGTATTAATGGGTGTGATAATAAGTGCCCTGTTCTTGCATAAGGACAAAATGTTTTGCTAAGGATTGCTGATGCTGAGTTGCACCCAAACCCACAAGATGTTTGTGGGATTTGAAGCTGCTCCTTCATGTTTTGTTTCTGTTTCTAGTGTTTTGCAGGATAGGACTCACTTGGGACAAGCTACAGAGTTCACATTTGCACTTCCTCATGACTAATTCCTATTATTTTTGCGTCTGCCAGAATTTTCTCCAGTATGACTAACGCAGCACATACAGCCCGGTTCAGGAACAGAAATACAGAGCTGCTATCATAGTTGCTCCCATGAATTTCACAGCTTTGCTGTTGAACAGAAGTGCTGCACAAGCTGAGTAAAGACTCAGAAATTAGTGTGAAACTCATTAATTAGCTTCATGATGAGCCTGGTTAAAACAGGGGGGCTTAGTTTAGACACACGCATTCTGGAGATCTGTTGAAGTCCCAAAGCAGACATATATTGAGAGCATTTATTCTGAAAAACTCACTCCCAGGCAAAGATCCCACCATCATAGCACATCTCCTGCAGACACACGTGGAACAGGATATTGGAAGTAATGGTACACCAAGGGAAACGGCAAAACATCGTGAGAAATCCTGCCTGATCAGAACTTTCTGGGCACTCAAGTCACACTGTTGACACTTTTGAGTGTAAGGAAACTCCAAGCAGCTCAGTGGATGGGAAAATAATACTGAGATCCTTTGAATGTTGATCTGACACAAGTCACGTTGCTGAATCTTCTAAGAAGAGCTCCACCCATCAGGAAGAATTGTGCCTATTGGCTTAAAGAAGTGGAATTCACTCACACCAGATGAGATCCAGCCCCAGATTCTTCTAAATTACTCAGTGTAAGGAAGTAGAATTGTCCAAACAATTTCAAAGCTTTGCTGAAATTCTGGGTTGCCCTTTGGAAAGGTCCTTTGTGTTTTAAAGTCAAGTCGAACTTCAAGAGTAGCTTCATTACAGTCTACTTGCAAGCCAGGAAACTACACTGTGCATATTCAGATTGCAAAAGCAGACCTAAAATTAGTGCTGGGGGAAAATGTTTGGTGCGGGGCAAGCAGGGACAGTGGATAGCGAGCGCCCTCCTCCCTGAAGCTCCTTCAAAACCCCTTTCCTTCCGACATTCAGGTTGACTCCTGATGAATTTTGAGACCTGGAGGAATCAGATAGTTTCCCAGTCACGTCATGTGCCTCGTTGAGGCGGGCTGCACAAGCAGCTCTCCTGGCGGCACTAGGGTTGGATCTGTCACATGGTTGGGTCAGCGAAAAGCTTGGTCCTCCTAAATGCCATTTTCCTTTGATTGACCTTTCATTCTGAGGAACTGTTGGATCGCTCTCAGTCACAAGATCTACTCACAGACCTTTGTGACATTTAGTAAAGGGTGTATTTCTCAGAGCCTTTTGGCCTGAAAAGCAAAACACCGGCGGGGTCCTTCGCAACCCTTTCCCCCTCCATCAGCCCCTCTGGTGGCTTTTTTCTTGCTACAAATTTTTCTGGATACAGCTGCACGCACTCCTCAATATCATATGGATGCAGGCACGGATGCTAAAATCTCACTTCTGCTTATTGGTGCTGTAAATACTCCTATTTAATTACCCATCGTCTTAGTATTAATAACTTCCCACAGAAGCACTATTCTCCCTCTGCAATCAGTGCTTTCACATATACCAGAAGCTTCAGAGGCCCTGACAAGCCAGCGAGATCCTATCCTCCCATGGATGCTCACAGCAAAATCAAATGCTGATTTTATCATAGAACAGCTTGCACTGTAAGGGACCTCAAGGATCGTCTGGCTCCAACCCCCCCAGCCACAAGCAGGGCTGCCAACCTCCAGATCTAATACTAGATGAGTCTGTCCATCACTGATCTCTGTCTCTCTTTCTAACATACCAGCATCCTCTCAGTCTTATTTCACTACATAGCTGAGCAGCCCTGCCTTGGGACTGCAATAGAGACAGATAAATGCTTTTCAAGACCAGATACACGTTGGCACATCTCACCGGCAGTGTTTTGAGGGAAGATAGTGTGGAAGGGGACAAATGTTTTGCAGAAAGGTTTTTGCCACATTCTCTAGCACAGCATGACATACCACAGAAATCCCACAGCATCCAGACAGAAACATATTCCCTCTCCAAGTCTATGCATTAAGCTGCCCAGAGCTGCTCAGGCCCTCTGTGATTTCTAGGGCTTCTCTATAGCAGTTTCATCTTCAGTGAAATGAAGTGAGTAAAAGGATAGAGTAAAAAGAAGCCATGCATCTCAGTATCTCACATGAACCACTGGTACTGAAGAAAGCTCCCCAACTCGAAGAATCATCCCATAATATCCTGGAGTGCTGCTGATAATTGCCAGCTCCCCCATGGCACTGATCTGAAGATATCCACAGGCTGCTTCACGTGCAGCTGCCAACAAACTTAAAAACTGAGCCCTAGGTGCTGCCAACTCCCCATCCCTTGATGCTGCTGGTTTCTGCCTCATGCTATAATGCTGACCTAAAAAGCTGATGCAATCACTCCCCAAGCAGCCAGGGTCACAGTTTCAGCCTTTCTAGACCCCAGCTTTATGTTTCAAAACTTGAAATTATTTTGTTGACATATTATTAAAAAATTTAATGTGGACATCTACCAAAATAGACCTTTTAATGCCAATATACACTATTCTTCTAGACCAATCCCTCTATCCTTACACTTAGCTATCCCCTGTGATCCAACTGCCATGTGCCAGGACTCATGGGTAAAGGCACAACACTGGGCCCTTTCAAACACAGCAGGAGAGAGCAGTGCCTGCTGTTTCTGGTTGGAAATCCTGAATTCCTGCTCCATACCTCCCTCATTTCTTAGCCACTGGGCAGTGCTTCTTGAAATAGACAGGCTTTTGTAAGTGCAGAGAATCTGTAGCCTCTGATGCTCCTGGAGTGAGAGAGACCTTCACACAGTGCTTTTTCCCATGGGATGTGGGAGAAGAGCTCAAAGGAAAGGCCCCAGGTGGGTATTCCACCAAGACTGCTGATGCAGGTTTTTGCACGCTACTATAGCTGGGAGAGAAAACAAGCACCATTCCTTGTTTCTTTCAGCTCTCCATTCTGCAGAGGCAGCTCTCTATGGCTACTGGGTGCTGCTGAGAAAAACTCTTTAAGCCACACCAGGCTGCAGGGTGCGGCTGACTTCACAGCCCAGGCAAACAGAAGGAGCTGGTGCAATAAATTACACCCACCCTCAACACAAACCCCGCAGGGGCTGGTATCATTCACTCCCCTTGTCCTCAACCCTATGGTTTGACTGATTCATTTCTTAATATCTGGACTGGGGGGGAAGGGTGGGGTTTGACATCCATGGATATGACTTGGGAAAAAGTGACAGGAATGCAGCTGCCTTCCCCTGTGCCTGGCTGTTATTCTTTCTCCAAATACAAACTAAATATAACTTTGCCCCATACCATTCAAATCATTTTCATTACTAGAAGGGATCATGCCTGGAGTTCCAAGGGCCAGGG